GTTTGCGGAACAGCGCGCTGACGATCACAGATTGCGGCGCACACGCGTTCCTGCAAGTCGACCGAAAGAGTATTTTAAAGAGCTTTTAGCTTTTGCCCTGATGTTTTTCAAAAACCTTTAAATGCTATTCTGTAGAGCTGACTCAACTTAGATTTGCAGTATGGGGAGATGTTACTGTAGGAGTAAGGTAGGATTTCTAGGCTTTTGAGATCAATCTTGTCCCAAAAAGACTCTATAGAGCTGTAAATTCTGCTCAGGAATTGGGTTGCTGGTTCCAGACATGAGTATTGCAGGTTACCCTCACAACTTTCGCGAGAAATTATCGTAGGTATAAAAGAAGCAGTATTCCCAAGATCCTTGAAAACCTAACTGCTTTGCAAATATATAATGAAAAACATTACTAGCTGGAATCAACGCTTCTACAACCGAAGTAGTTTCTATTTTTTGTGGACATTTTGTAAAAGCAGAATTTGCAAGATGCAGAAGCTGGTAGTTCCTACCGTGCCCTATCGTAGCAGAACAGTAATCGGTGATTCGCTCTACAGCAAATTTAAGCTAACAGCTCTACAGAATGGTATCTAAGGATCGAAAAAAAGACATCTGGGTAAAAAAATGAACAATCAAAGGAGATTTTTGGGACACCGCAGCAACAGTTCTGTTGACGATGACAGATTGAGCTGTACTATTCTCCATTTTTACCAGTTTGAGTTCTTACATATATAAAGTGCTCGATAACACACTACTGAATATCCTGATCAAGAAGTGAATCTTTATTAACAAGCACAGTACAACAAATGAAAAAACACAGCAAGTAATAATTTAGAAGGGGTGCAAAGCTAGTTCCTTCACAAAATCACAGAAAATTTGCAATTAAGACAAGTTACTTGTTACGACGTAGGTATTACTAGAGGACAACTCGTTCTTGTGTCGATCAAAACTATTGAAGTCATTATCAATCATTATTGCTTTTTTATTTCCTCTTTTTTCGTTCCATGGAAGGACTTGCTGGACGGACGATTGATAGGAAGGAACGAAACAGTTCCCAAGATCGACCCTGTAGAAAAAAATGTCGGTTAGAGGGTGTAAGAATTTTTTTTTAGTATAGCATCTGACGAAGTAATACCAAAGAAGAACACAACATAGATGCATTACAGAAAAAGATCACATTGTAATCCACGTATAGCATGAAAAAAAAACTCGACGAATAATTTACCTGATTGAAGAAGATTAGCGCCAAAAGTCCAAAGAATGGCAAAGCTAGCAACGATCCAGCGCTTATTTCCACTTCGCCGGATCGTTTTGATGATGTAATTGGTATGCGAACCACCCGCACTGGTGCATCCGTAGTGAAGAACACTACAATGAAGCAAATTAGGTACCAGCTAGCTCGTTACGGTAACTACCTGTCTTCGCTGGGAATGTTTGGTATTGTCGATCTGGTTCGACTCTCACAGAATACTCTCTTCCATCGCGAGGTAGGTTATTCAGATAGAACACAGTGACCGGGGCGTGTACCACAGATTGTGTGATCGTCTCGCCTTCTCGTTGTACAGAAACACGATATGAAGCAGGTATACTCATTGTTCCGAATTCCATCTAGGACGAGACCTTTTTTAAAATATCAATCCAATCTGATATAGCTCACCTCAACAGCCAAATCTGTACTCATATCGTACGGAGCCGCAACCATATCAAGTCCCTTCAAATCTTCAGCAGTCATCCGAACTCCAAACTGAGAGGGATAGCAGTGTGGAGGTGCTGCGCCATCTGCTCCTGCTGTATACCAAGATTACCTATTCAACTTGTCCAAAAGTACGTAAAACGTCAACAAATCAAAAAAAAAATACATAAGTACAAAGAAAACATAGGACCATACGTGAAATTAATTGTGATATGAAATATTCGCTTACCTTTGATCGACACCTTGTATTGACAGTCTGGTTTCAAACCGCGTATACGATAAGAGCCGTCTTGCGTAGTAGTTGCTTCTGACTGGTGTTGATCGCATTGCTCCGAGAGCGCTTCCACAATCACACCAACAACAGCAGAACCCGACATCTCTCTTATACGACCAAACACACTATAATGGCAGCAAATGTGATATTTGACAATAGAAAGTACCACAACGCAGTGGGTATCTTGAGAGATGCGGTAAAGAAGCGCTATTTTCAAGGGCCCCATTGCCAAATTGATAATGAATACTACACATTGCGTATAACTGGTCCTAATAATGTCCAAAAAGGAACTGCAGAAAGTTGCAGATGATAAAACATCATCTCAGGATTTTTCGAAAAATCACTCAGGACTTAGATGTTAGGGATTCTTATTTCAACTTACTGGCAAGTCAACGCTTCGCCTGTACATTTGAATAAAGTACAGCCTTTGATTCGTATGGCTAATGATGAATGGAGAATTGCTATTGCCAGATAGATAGAGATCAACACACAAACGTTTGCTTCCCGCGGCATATGTTCCGACAGAATCTCGGTTATTCTTTCATGATAACACCCTGCCTCAGACAGCCAAGGATTTCAACATCTACTTCAGTTGTGAAGTCGCGAAACCGTATTCCTTGATACTCCTCACCGGCAAGGTGTCACAGGACAAAACACGGGGGCAAGCGCAGCGCTGCGTATCTCTCGCTGGTCTCGGCTACCGTTACAGCGTGAACAAATCTACGAGATCGCCAATTTTGATGATGAAAAAGTCGAAATTTCGAAAGCGTGTCATGTGAGCTAAACATCTGCTATTTGTGCAAGTTATCTTCAAAAGAATTTATCAGCTTTAGTTTTCATAGGCCCTAACCCACTTTGCAGACGTTGCAAATGCAACTAATTGTAAGCTTTAAAGCTTGGTATAGAGCTTTTTTTCTGCTTGAAAGTTCTGAAATTCACCTGAACGCGACGCGCTTTCCTCGCAGTTCGACATGTTCATGCTGTCCTTCCTTCACAACAATTGTCGTAGTTGACGGCTCAAATTTGTATTCTTGCAAGATTGCTCGTAAGAAGTACTCTCCAGGAGCCTGAAAAGTGTTTCTCAGATTTTCAAC